ACATAGAAGCGTTCAGCAGGGTTGGAAGAACTTCTCGCTATGATGCTGCTATGACATCACAGAAAGTCAAGATATTACAGGAGCAGAGATCGTTGCATAAACTGTCAATGGCCTGCAAGTGTGGCATCAGCTCTGTTAGCACAGCATGATACTCCCAACAGAACCCTGACACACCATACGGTTATTGCTTCTGCAAAGAGTAGAAACATAAACAAAAGCAAACAATATCCTCTCTTGGTCTTCCCTACAGTGAGACCACAGGTCTCTGCGTGGACAACTCTTGTCTGACAGTCAACTAGAGAAGTGAATGGCTTGAAGGTACAGGACGTCTGTTGATGTGCGAGTCAAACTGACTGCTTCCTTCTACTGACCTCTCCTGCTCCCTCACTCATCTCTAGCATAGCCACTATTTTTTATTTCTCCTCATGAATTTTACTCTACGTATACACTTGTTTTGTTTTTTTTGCTCCAAATATCTTAATTTACTTTTGTGGACCTTTACCAAATTCACTTGTTTAGGCACTTTAGAACTTAAACTTGAGTGAACAAATGAAGATGGGCAATTTTTTTTACCAATTATTTATTGACATAGTTTTTAGACCTGAACATTTGGGTTATAGTCTTCAGTGTTTCCACTATCATTATACAAGCGGGGCGCCCTGCCCTGTCAACAGAACTGAGCCCCACGCCTACCGAACCAAACTACGGGCAAACCCCCGTCGGCACTGATGCAGCGCTAAGCTAGCGGCATGCAATACAGACGTGCTAGCTCAAAGCGGTGCTCATGCTGCCTCTTCCCTCGCGCTGAACCCTTATGCTGAAACCCCCCAGCTCAAAAACTGTTGGTACAAACAGTATAGAGCTCGGACATGTCCCCCACCCTACCCCGTCGACAAAAATCACGGACAAGATGGGGGCCTTAGCAAGTTATTGAGGGGAAACACTGGTCTTGGATGTGTTTTGTCAGAGGACAGCTCCTGAGTCAAATAAAGCTCAGTGCTCGAGATGAATTAAGAGACCCACGGCAAAATTGAGAAGGGTCCCAAATGGCTGTGAAAATTATTTCACTATTCTGAGAAAATTTGTCTCAAGCATTTTTTTACGTTGAAAATTCAACTGTGAGCCCTTGCAACTCATGCAATGAAATTGAGAACACCCACAAACTGCCACAATTTGGAGACTCCTCAGCAATGTTGCCCACCAACTATCTGCCAACGCGTCCTGTGAGAAACTACATTTCAAGTAGTATCCTACCATGCTGCAACTTTTGGAGACTAGTTGGTGACTTAAAGGCGGCTAAAGGGGCGGCTGTGGCTGAGTGATTAGAGCAGTCGTCCTCCAGTGCAAGAGTTGGGGGTTCAAATCCACCAGCAGTCACATGCTAAAGTGTCCCTGGGCAAGACACTGAATCCCTCATGTGTGTCCCATCAGTGTATGAAAGTGACAAAGCTCTGATTAGTCTTGTTCAATTAGCTTTGTTTAGATCTAGTAGAGTGCTGCATGAATGGGTAAATGAGGCACAGATTGTTGTAAAGAGCTTTGAGTATCTTGATCAGATAGAAAGGCACTATACAAGTACAGTCCATTTACTATAAAAATTCAGAGAAAAGGTGCAGAGTTTTCATTGCAGGTATACTAAATTGAATGTTTGTGATTTAGTGATCAGAAAGCCATGCAGCCATGTTCTGAGCAGATAGTTTTTGAAAATCACAACCCTTTTCTGTGTTCAAGACTTGGAAAAGCATATTCTGAGCTGTGCACATTTATTACCAACCTCCACCCACATCGTACAGTATATGCCTCAATTCACTTTGGACCCTTAGCAAGGGTCCACACATATGATCTAATCTACACAAATGCACTATAGAAATGCAAGTCTGCTAATTTGGACTATTAACGTGGCTTTTATACCTAGACACTTGGGCCTGTTGCATTGGACGTTTTCTGGAGAGCTCCTGCGCTAATGTCAAAATCAGATTCTAACACTGCAGAATTTGCAAAAATTCAATTAAGAGGGGTTTGTTACACTCGACAAAATGACAATAAAGAACCTTGACTTGACAACTCAGAGAAAATTAGCCTGAACATACTCAAAATGAAAGCTACAAAGCTGTGAGCCTCTGCAACCCACGCAGTGAAAATAGAACCACCACAAATATTTTTAGGACATTCTGGAGACTCCTTTGCAAATGCCATTTGCCAACTAGTGGCAGCCCAGCCCAATTGTTCAGACATTTTTAGTGGCAGGACAGGCTGGAACAACTGGGCGCATGTGCACATTATGTCAGCTGACAAACTGCTATTGTCCAAGAATGGTAGATTTAAATGGTAAATGGACTGTACTTATATAACGTCTTTCTATCTTATTTCAAGATACTCAAAGCTCTTTACACTACAATCTGTGCCTCATTTACCCATTCATACAGCTCTATACTAGATCTCTACAAAGCTAATTGAACAAATCATTCTAAAGAGACTAATCAGAGCTTTATCACATTCATACACTGATGGGACACACATCAGAGGCTATGAGGGGTTCAGTGTCTTGCCCAGGGACACTTTAGCATGTGACTGCTGGTGGATTTGAACCCCCAACTCTTGCACTGGAGGACGACTGCTCTAACCACTCAGCCACAGCCGCCCCTAACAAATACAAGCCCGGTCAGTTGATGCCTGTGCACGTCAGTGGATTCATTGATCCATACATTCCATTGCCATCATAGGTCCAGCTCACACAATTGCTAGCAAAATCACAGACCTACTTTCCAAGCACAATTCAGACTGGACTATATTTAGGTGTACCTACACAACATATGCTTTACCCTACAGGACACATATACATACACACACATGCACATTATACAACATTCAGCCTGCTGGGCTTTGAAAGCTATGTCTTTCCTGACTGCAGTGCTGTCATCTACTTTAGTTTCCCTCACTATGATCTGTTTCTGGAGCACAAACCACAACTGGTGCTTCGGAGGAGTCTTAAAAGGCAGCCATGGCTAAACAGAGAGGAGCAGGTCGGATGATAAAAGGCTGCTGCCGCCCTCTGCAAATCACAGACAATCTGCCGAGTACAAGGAGAGAGGCTGCAGTTCAGGGAATTGAACATGTTTACATGTGGTGACTCAAGGCACTTGAATTTAGGGCTGCCTTGACTTTAAAGTGATCTTTTCTGATCTTTGGTTGATGACTCTTAGACATGAGGAGACAGGAACAAGACATCTCAGGAGGAAGCTTGTGAGCAGTTTGACAGACTGCTCGTGACTGCGTGGAAAAGAGCACGCGTCATTTTCAAGCTTGCCTAAACACGCACAGGTCTTATCAGTTTTTCACACCATCAACCATCTCTTTGACACCGACAGGAAGTCCCACAACCAGTCCAGACCATCTCAGCTGTCACGCCAGCCAAGCTCCTCTTAAATCAGGCGGAGCTTCTGTTTGTGCACCTGCAGTGCTTCATTCAAACCAGAGATGTTCACGCGCTGCTCAGAGAAGAAGAGCAGTCACACTCAAACTTTCAGATTTCTCAGTCGCTATTTTGTCCATTTTTAACTTTTAAAGACAAAAGCTTGGAATACATTTATATGTACACGTTTGTCTGGGTTTTCTGCACTGTATGACGGTACTTTGAATTTTTATATGTGCAAGCACCGTTAAAATTCAAACGCACATCAAAGAACATGTAAGTTTTTCATTGAATTAAAACAAAGACAACATTCAACCTTTCCGGTTTAAGACGTGCATATCTAAAACCCCGAGAGGTGTGTGAGCGTGCACGTGTCTGCACTTTCTGAGACAGTAACTTAAAAAACTAAACGGCGATGAAGCAATAGGTGACAAATAATGGCAAAATGCATGTTTCATCTACACCACATATTAAATCAGGACATGTACTGTAGTTCACTGAGCAAGTTATTATTAAATGAGATTTTATTGTTTTTAGAGATTCAGATTTCTAACTCTTTTTTAACGGAAGTAGACGGAAGCAAAGTTTTGACTTCCTTTATATTTTGCCTTGCTTTATCTTTTACAGCTGTGGGTCCCAAAGGCCAAGTCAGGACCAAACTAATTTATGTCTAAAGGAACACTCCTGAAATTATATCTATAAATTAAATAAAAGATAATTAATATTAACTTTTTTATATACTATAAACACTGCAAAACACAAACTAACAAGTCAAGTTAATTGTACAAAAACATACAATAATAATTATCGGGTCTGTGTTGTCTTTGTATGTTTTTTGCTGTAAACCTTCACCAGCACAATTTGGGCTTGCACGTTTCAGGTGTTGTTATTTTGTGGGTCAGAAACTGAAAAGTTTGGGAATCACTGTATTAAAGAACAAGGAAAATGATACAAACAGCAACTGGTATTCATCGTATTTTGAGAAATACATCACATCACCATCCTTGTTGTTGCAGTTGCAGCATAGAGGATCAACGGTGCCCACACGCTTCATAAAGCAGATCTCATGCATAAACGGTAGAAAATACTTCTCATTGTGAGCTCATCTCATCCCTGCACAAAAAACAGCTGTCATTTCTCCTTGCAGCTGCCAGATCACACCTCTTGTCACTAACCGAGACCAGATGTGCGGTGTAAGACCAGATGTGCAGTGTAAGACCAGATGTGCGGTGTCCATGACTCATGTGTGCCCTGCCCTTTAACCTCTGCATCAAGTTGCCAACAGCTGCCACTGGGTCACAGCACAGGACTGGGTCCACCAGTGCGTCTGCAACACACACTCATGTTGAAGGGTGACTCCACTGGAAGGATCTTGTTTGCTGAACAGTAAAACTTGGAATGCACTGGTGTTACTGGTCCATCACGCCTTAATGGCAGAATCCTGCTTGCACTTCCACAAACTGTGGCTGCTGGTGCGTGCGTCTGTGCGCGTGACAGACCCTCTGCGGGGGCTAATTACAAAGTCCCGGTGACCTCCGCTAGTCCCGGTTTAACGCGGAAACCGCACAGCGATCAATTCAACACTTACTTGCCGATGACCTCGCAGAGCTCGTACACATCTTCAAAGAGAATGTCGTCGTCCGCCATAGTCCCGAGCCGGCCCTGGGGAGGACTGACACCCCCAAAACAAGCGTCCCAACCCGTATGACTGTGCTCCGAAAAGAGGAGCGCGCACTATTTTACAGCAACATATGAAAAAAAAACACGTCAAACGCAAGAAATCCCGCAAAGAGTTGCAAAGCTTCTTATTCCCAGTTGTAGCCTCCTTTCTTGACCCCCACGTCTCCCCCAAAGCGCAGGGGAGACGGCGCGGGGGGTGTTAGTAATCCAGTTCGGGGAGCCACCGGTCCGGCACCGCCTCTCCCACACAGCTTCCAGATCTCCCGGCAAACAACAAGAAGGCGCGTGGAGCTGTGAAACACCGCGCGCACTTCCTGCGGGTGTGACCCGGCGGGCGGTGCTGGGAGCAGCCTGGGCTTAGAGCCGCTGCTCCAGGTGCCTTCCAGTTACCGACATCACCCCTGACGGCTCCGGTGTTCAGGGCTGCGCGCGCACTTCTCTGGACAAGTCTCCCAAAGGTACCGGGAGTCCCGGTCCGGCTGCTCCTCCTCGGAAAGGCAGCACTGTCCAGCCGCGGTGTCACCTCCGTCCTCGCGCCGTCACCCCGCGCGGCTCCGTCACCCTCTCAGCTACACCGAGCTTCCAGAAAACCGAGCCCCGCCTCCTGGGGAGTTATGAAACTGCTCCAGTGTCCTCCATTTTGGCGCTTCTCCACCCGCAGGTTTCTCCGTTCAGTCCGTGCAGCTTTGATGTGTATGGAGGAAGAGTGGTGCCAGAAATGTTTTCTTTGTTGTTTTTTCCTTCTCTTTTTGTGCAGTTCCCTGGACTTTATCGATGGAAGTGAAGTAAAGCGTATAGGTCTTCTCCTACTCCGCTCCTGTTTCCTGGAATATCTTGCTAAAAGATCTGAAGTCTGTTAAGTTCATGGGAAAACTCAACACAGACATGTTCTTGTTTTTAGTTTTCTACACCACCCTACAACCTAGCTGTTTTTGTGTTTTGTTTTTGTTACTTTTCCTTTTAAATACCATTTTATTTTCACTTGTTAAAAAAAATTAATTTGTATGCATCTTTATGATTGTCTAGTGTTTGTTGTCCACTGTTGTCATCACTCTGTTACAATCAGGTCTCTCTTGTAAATGAGTCCCTGAGGCTCAGTGGGATTAACCTGTATAAATAAAGGTTGAATAAAAATTAAAAAAACAGCTAAGATGGAGATTGGATAAGAAAATTAATTGTTTTAAACTGTTGCCTTGACACTGATACTGTAAGTAACCTCACTTTAAGTAAATGTGTAATGTAAACTGATGTAAGAATAAGATTTTTTTTTGCCTCTGGAAAAGTCACAGACCTTATTTATTCGACCTTTATTTAAACAGATTAGTTTCGATGAGTCACAAGGACAGATTTTCAAGCGAGACCTGTTTTAGACAAACCACAGATGAGTTACACACAACAATAGGAGGGCGGAGCGCAAGTGGAGGAAAGACAGGCTGCAGGTCTCTTTTCAAATACTTTAAAAGAGTTGGCGCCGTTATCAGAAAGCAGTGAAAGCTGCTAAATCCAAATACTTTTCTGATATAATTACCTCAAACTCTCACAACCCACGTGTCCTCTTCTCTACCCTAAACTGTTCTCCACCTCACTGAACCATCACCTCTGGAAGCCTCGACTGAGCTGTGCGACAACTTCTTACATTTCATTTTGGAAAAAATTACGAACACCAGGGCTCTCATTTCCCCTCCAACTCATGACCCATCCATCCCACCTCAATCTGTAGCTCCTTTTGACCATTTTGAACCCATCACTCTATCTTCTTTAGAGCAGGTCATGTGCAGCTTGAAACCTTCTGGCTCCCCCTTTGATGTGGTCCCCCCTCGACTACTAAAGGAGGTTTTTCCTACTCTAGGTCCGTCCATTCTTGCCATAGTAAACAGTAGTATATCCACTGGCGTGGTGCCAAAATCCTTTAAACATGCTGCTGTCCAGCCTCTCCTGAAAAAACCAAACCTTGACCCCTCAGTCGTGTCCAACTTCCGGCCTGATAGGCTGATGGTCCTTCTTGAGCATGTGATCAGCTGGTTTTGGTTGTCAGCAGCAAAACTGGTTGATCCACCCTGAGAAGGTGCTATTTAAGAGACTGAGCTGAATACAGCTCCTCAGACTGAGGAAGTCTCTCGGATGAGAGACGAAACGTTTCTACATTTTTTGTTGATTTGCTTTGTTTTGGTTTTTTTTTTTTTTTGAATGTCCAGAGGACCAGATTTAACTTTTTTAGATTTTTCTACCTGGATTATTGAGCATGCATCAGGATAAACTACACAGGTTGTGTGACAGATTATTGCACAGGTAGTGAGTAACACTGAGATGAATTATGATGGTAAGATGTATACATGATACAGCCACATAATGCATTAGCAATAAAATATTAGGTGTCACAAGCTAATATTTGTCATATTAGTTGTCACAGATGTGGCTTGGTACAAAGTTATTGCCAGTTGTTCAGTGTTATTTATCAAGAGTTCAGCAATCTGACAGCTTGTGGACAATAACTGTCTTTAAGTCTTTGAGTCTTTTTGTGCACAATGGCAGACTCCTGTATCATCTACCTCAGGGTAGTAGATGGAAGTGTCCTTGTGCTGGGTGGGTGTGGTCCTTAATGATGCTGCATGCTTTACACAGACATTGGCTGTGGTAGATGTCCTGGATGGTGTCTCAGATGGTTGAGAGAAGTGCTTAAAGCTAGTTGTGCTTTGTTTTGTGTTTTATATGTAGATATATGTGGTAACCTGGTTGCATAAGTTTAGTTTTTGTTAAAACTAAACTGATTTTGTACGAAGTGTTTAATAGGTTGTGTAATGTAAATTTTACATTCTTACATATTGAATTTCACTGTGAGTTCTTGCCCTCTGTTGCTCTGTGGAATGAAAACATCTACTGCAGTAACTTTTTTAAGTTATTAGTAGCTTAGAATTCTTTTTTGCCTTAATTTTGGCTGATAAGGCATAAATGCATCACTAAATGCTTCAAGTAACACCATGAACTTCACTACCTCCACCATTACAGATATCTTGATTGTTAGTTTATCCAAGGTTGGCTCAACCTGTGTTACATTTCCTCATGGGCGAAGCAATCTTACCGTTCATGTAAAATATTTGATAATGTTCTTATAGAAACAAGTCCTGAATGTTGTTCATACTGTGTTAATGCTACATGTTTGTCTCTTGACCCTACAACTGGGTAATGTTACAGTAAACCTAGCCTATTACTGGAGTTTTAATTAGGTATTTAAAGCTACAAATAAACATGATGGATGATGATCATATTGCTTTATGGCAGGCCATTGGTAAGAAGGAGTGATTATTATTATTGTTTCATATTGGCTAGTGATTTTTTTCCCTAAAAGATAACTTAGGTTACACTGTGTTTCTTAGACTGTGGCTAGGATGCATGAGAGAAGCATGCTCTATTCACACAAGGAGAGCTGTTGGCCAGGCTACTTCTTGTTGTGTCATTAACTCTATCATAGTTATTGAATCAAGTGTGACTTATGCAGGCAAAACTAAATGTTAAACCGCCTGTTAAAATACACCAGAATGCAGGAAATGGCATCTACTTTATTCAAAATTTTCTGGGGGAGAACCCCCAGACCCCCCCACCAGTGTGCCCCCCATCACATAAACAAACTTCTGACACCAATGGTCACTACACTGTTCAAGCCAAGAGCCATTGTTAGCACTGGGGGCTAATTTTGCCCCTAAAGGGCAGATTCCATAATTGCGCCTGATGTTGTAAGGTTATAATTACATGATTTTAATAATAATAGGTTGAGATCTAAAGTGGGCCAGTCTGAGGCTGAAACTCCAGGGCTGCAAATGAGTCCCACTGCAGCCCTGCTCTGACTGCACAACAAACAGCTTTATGAGGCGAGATCATCGTCTCTTTGTTGCAGTTCAGTGAAAGTTCAGATAACTCCTGCAGTGATTCACATATCAGACTGTGCACAAAAGCGCAGGAACTTCTGCGTAGTGCAAAATGTTTAATTATATTTTTGAATTTTTTAATAAAATTGCCCATGACTTTGAACTTTTAGGGGCGAAGATTTTTTTAAGAGCAGAAGTGGAAATGTGAAGCGACAGCTCTGATGTGATATTAGGAAGTTTGTTATGTTTAAAATTAGTGTTTATGTAATTATTTTCAGATCATATCCACTTATTACATATCCAATATAGGTTTTATTCGTTCAAGGCAAATTTGTTCATAAATGTATTATTATGAGGCCTGAGAGTTACTGGATCCAAACAAACATTTACCGGAACGCTCCCTATCAAAATAAGAGAGTTCCCAGATCCTGCTCTGGCAATATCCGGTTCAAATTAAATTGCTATTTTTGGGTGTAACTGGGACCTTGAGTACACAATTTCGTTCCACCTCATGTACCACATGTGATGCGAATGACAATAAAGAACCTTGAACCTTGTGTTGGTCTCAAGACCTGGTGAGGGTTGTGGCAGGAAGGGCATCCAGCGTTAAACACTTTTGCCGCCCAAAATATGCAAGTTCATCCAAGCGACACCATACTGACTCAGTCAAGGCAAAGGTTAACTACGGCCACCACCTGCGCTAGTGACAAACAGGGTGCAGGCTGAAAATTTGCTAGTTAGCGCCACAGATGCTGTCTTTGCATTGAGAATGATGAAATAAAAATACAGAGTTGATCAGAAAGAATTTCAGTGTCTGTGTGATTTACAAAAGGCATATGACAGGGTGCCAGGAAAGGGTTAGGACAGGAAATGACAAAACATGATACTGTCACTTTAAAATTATTTTATTCACATCCAAACAACAAGTGTGTGTGCCCCTTGTCACACAGAGGTTGTGGGGAGGGAAGTAAAGAGTGCACTTTCTTGGGGTGATAAGATGAGTTGTGTTGGTGTGATTGGCGAACATGTGCACAGAAGAAAAGAAGGTCAGATTTTCTGATGATATGTGGATGTTCATGTAAATAAAAAACTATTTTTGGGTACACATAAATACTTGAACAATTATGTACTGTACAGTAGTCCTTCACTACATCACGGTTCGACTTTCACGCACTCGCTCTTACGTGATTTTTCATCATAAGATTGTACGACACACGATTGTCAACTTTAATATGTGATTGGGATGGTACGGGATTAAAAAGTTAATGAAGAAAAATACTTTGGACAGGTGCTGCCGTTTTGTAGTTTTCTTTCAATAAGCCTATACTTTTAATGCCAGTCAAAAGAACTACACTACCCAGAAGCCAACAGTGCTTCTGGTTGCTGCTTTCTGCCAAAATGGAGGGAAAGTTTTGCAACGCAATTGGAAACTGGATTTCATGATTTTTTTTTTTATTATTATTATTATTTTAACTCCTTTACTGCTTCCTTGCAATCTCTCTGAACCAGTTAAACTTTGACATGGGAAAAATTCAGAATTTTTTCAAATTGCTGTGTTAAACTTGATTGCTGGTTGTGATGATTCAAGGAGGTGACTAAAACACTTGTAATCAGCAAAAACTTCCTGCAGCTTTTCAACAACTGCAGAAAACTTGACATGAGTAAATATTAATGTTTAATTAGCCACATGGAATGGTGTTGTACAGTGAGTTTTTGTGAGTGCAACCTGTTAATTCTCCGAGTTGCAGACAAAGCAGG